TTATGCGTTAGTTGTGTGTTTTACTATTTTTAGGCTCACGGGAATAAATTCAGACAAATCTGTGTGAAAAAGTGCAAAACTCAGAGTTTTAGAAAAGTGAAAAAAATCATGCTATATGAGGCCTGACACAGGTGGCCCTGTCAGGTGGAAGACCTGGGACAAGTTGAAGAAGAATTAAAAGTCAAGGGTGCAACACGGGCGGTCGTGTCGCCTGACACGGGCCATGTTGCACATCTTGGGGCTTGGAAATTAAAATGAAGAAACCAAAAGTCCAACATGGGTGGCCTTGTCGCCTGACACGGGCCGTGTTGGCGAGTGACGATGATTTTTATTATTTTCCTAATTTTTCACTATGGGTGGCCCAAAAGGGCGTTTTAGGTATTTCCAACTGACCTAAGTGAGTGTTTGCTATTTAGATGACTTTTGAAGAGAAAGTAGAGGACTTTTTGCCAGTGAAGAATTGTTACGAGATTGAAGAATGGAGAGATCAAGGTCATTGGAGAGCGGAAGATTCTCATGAGCAGAAGCAATTGAAGACCGAAGTTATCAAAATACCTCTAATGTTTAATTTTTATCTTATAATTCTTTTGAACAATATGAGTAGCTAAACCCCCCAATGTTAGGGGTGTCCCTGATTTGATTTTGCAATGACTCTGAATTCCTAATTTCAACAATTTATTGGTTTTTCATATTCAATTCAATTATACAAGGTTTTTTATGCTTTCTTTAACGGACAGATAAGGATTGTTCTACGATTAATAATTAGTTGAACCGCAATTGTTAAGGTTTTTGTACGATTAAACTATAGTAGATATCACCTAGGACTAGAGATACCCTATAGTTATCGGTTAACTCTTGATAAAATAAAGGCTTGATTTCATCATAATTCTCTAAGGACTTGGGATTTAGGATGAATGTTTAAAGGTTTTCCCACTAAGAACTTAGGGGAAAATAACCTAAAGAGTTGGTAATTGAATATTATGAACTTGTTGAAGAAATAAGGATTCAAGGTTATTACAGGGAAAATTATACACTGACCCTAGCATGCTCCTCATATCTCTGAAAAAGCCAATTTTATATCTTCTTATTTTACTTATCATTAAGTGACAATTTCCAAACTAAACCCCAAATTGAGTTTTTGTTTAATTGAACCACAAATTGAACTTGATACTGATACCCAGTCCTTGAGATCGATACTTTAGGATTTCCCATTATTACTACATTGGCGAATTAATACACTTGCTAATTTATCGATCAAGTTTTTGGCGAATTAGTACACTTGCGAATTAGTACACTGAAGTTTGATCAGTGATTTGTACACCTTTGTTTACTGTTAATTCTAGTTAATTGTGACATTGTTTTTAAGCACTTTATTTCACTTTTTCCGCATTTTATGATTTGGTTGTTTCTCTTTGATGTTTTAGATTCAGGTAAGAATTTAAGAAGAATCAGAGCGAAAACCAGGAAAAATCGTAAGAAAATAGAAAAAATTTCTACACACTCCAAGAGGTCTGACACGGCTGTCCGTGTCAGGCAGGCAACATTTACAAAACAAAAAAACAGTGGTCTGACATAGGCGCCCGTGTCAGCTGACACTACCTGTGTCAGGATGCTTGGGGTCTGACACTGCCTGTGTTAGCCTAACACTGCCCGTGTCAGCCTGACACTGCCCGTGTCAGGAAGCGTGAGACCAAAAATAAACACTTTAAATGACAAAAGAGTAACACGGGCGCCTGTGTTGGCTGCCACGGCCCGTGTCAGCATGTGATGCTGAGTTTTTTTTTTTTTTTAATATTTTATCTATAGGTTGAGTTGTGTGGGCATTTTGGGTATTTCCAACCGATCTGAGTGAATGTTTTTTATATAGGTGAGTTTTGAATAGGAATCAGGGCACTTTTTGGCAAGCGAAGAATTACCCAAGAAAAGATTGGAGAAGACAAGAGTTTTAGTGAAAGGACATTTTCATGAACGAAAGCGATTGAAGATTAAATTTCTCCCTAATAATTTTAATGTTTACAATTTATCTTTTGTTTTCTTTGAATACTATGAGTAGCTAAACCCCCCAATGTTAGAGGGTGTCCCTGATTTGAATCTGTAAACGACTTTGATTTCGTATTTCAATAATATATTTGTTTTTAATATTCAATTTAATCGTACAAGGTTTTTAATGCATCCTTTGTTGGACCAACAATGATTAATTTACGGTTAACAATTAACTGGATCGTAGTTGTTAAGGTTTTTGTACGATTAGACTATAGTAGATATCACCTAGGACTAGGGATACCCTATAATACCGGTTAAATCTTGATAAAACAAAGACTTGATTTCATAATAATTCTCTAAGGACTTAGGATTTAGGATGAATGTTCAAAGTTTTTCCCACTAAGAACTTATGGGGAAATAAACTAAAGATCTGGTTGTCACAGCCCAAATTTTTCCTAACCCTTTATTTTTCATCTAGCTTATGCATATCACAATCATTATGTACATATCCTCCATTGGGTCATCTAACATTGGATGCATTAACTAACAACAAGGCTTGGTATTTGGGATCAAAGGTCAAGAAGATTAAGGCTTCACTTGTGCACTAGGGTTTCATTCTTTTGCAAGGTTTGTTTCAATTGAGGATCCAGAGATCATGGATTAGGTTTTCTAAACCATGTGGACTCCAAGAGAAGTTTCATGTGGAGTTATTCATCAAGCAAAACCACCATTCAAAAGGGCTTCTACAAGGTTTAAGGCGTGTTCATCAAATGAGCTCGATACAAATGGCATTTTCATAGAGCATGGATTGAAATCAGGGTTTTTTGGTCATCCTCAACATACATGCCATCTTCTTCAAGATATCTCAAGAGCAAGATGTTACGGTTTCAACTTGTCGATCGTGGAGTTTTCATCTATAATTTCAATTAAGAAGGCTTAGAACCAGGGTTTTATTGTTTCTCATCATCTCGAGCCACTTTCTTCAGTCAATGTACATCTCACGAGGAATTAGGGTTTCACGTTCATTGTGTTTGATCATGTTATTCAATTGAGGCTCAGTGGTCTCCTACTTCGAATTTTGTTTGTGTCCTCATCATAAGGATTCCTCCAAAAATTATTATTATGGTAAAGACATCTATTGAGGGAATGCCTTATCAAGGCATGGTACCATAAGAGATTGAAGTTATGGATTTTGAATGTTCAAAACACTGTTATTCTTTCAAGTACTTATTACTTGTAAGGCAACCTAATTGTGTTTGGAACATTTGAAGTTATAAGTCTCTTTCAAGTACTTATTACTTGTAAGGCAAGCTAATTGTGTTTGGAACATTTGAAGTTATAAGTCTCATGGAATTCATTCAATTATTCACCTTTCATTGAGCTCAAGTCTATTAATACAAGTGGTTCCATTATTCAAATTTCTTTCAAATTTGGCAAGGATTTTAAGCATTTATTCATGAGGATCTTTTTGAAAGCAAGTTACAAATTCAAGGTTTAAGGTTCTCAAAGTTCAATTTCAAGTTTATTCAACTTTATCCACAAGACCAAAACTCAAGTGTCAAAGTGCATCACCATTGTTTTTATTCATTCAAATACTTCATTCAAAGGTCAAGTTTCAACTATATTCAAGATTCGGGATTTTCATACAAGTTCAAGCAAGTTCATTCATTAGAAACATCATTCTTCAAAGGAATTCAACGAGAATTGGCAAAAGGAAACTTAGGATGATCGTTCTTGAAGACTTTGAATTTTGGAACAAGTGAAAAAGGGTGTCATTCAAGTTTCATTTGAAGTTCACAAGATTTCAATGGTACAAAAAATTATACAAGTGAAATTCCCACATAGCCCAAAATTTGAACTATTTTCACGGGTAGAAATTGTTTCTCTTTGAAATCCATCTTTCTTTATGATCAAGGCTTGCAACCATATACTCCAGCTTCTTGACGTAACACTACCCGAGAAGACCCCGCATTCATTCAAACAATCCAAGAGTCAAAACCTTTATACATTGAACAAATTCAATTCAGAAAAATTAGAACTCATGCTTTAACATATTAACAAACTATCAATTCACAAAAACCACCCTACATTGATTCCACCGATGGCTCATTGGAAGATTCAAACACTAAACTAGTTATGCATATATCAGAGGCAGAATTCACATGTTATGTTCAACACCAATTCAAATTAACATATCCAAACCTAGAACTCATACAATAGCCAATACAACATCAAGCAGCCATGTCCATACATATGCATTCACCATGACTCAAGTTCAAATCTAGAAGGAAAAACAAGTAGTTTCAATAAAAGATCAGAACATAAACCAAATGCCGACAGAAATTCAGAAATTCATAATTCAAAAACCAGAATTAAACAATTCATAAAATCCAGCTATCCAAAAAAAACCAGTTAACATCTCAATAGAAGAAATGAAAACTAACTTTCAACTAACTATAACTAACAGTGCCAGCTCACACTAACTGTCATAACAGAATCCCTAAGCCCTAATCAACCCCATAACCGATTTTCATCCACCCTCTAACTAACTCTCATCTCACCATCCATTCACTAACCGAAAACCTAGAATCTAAGGGTTCAGATTTGTTCATCCTCTAACTACCTTCCCATTCAAACAACCTATATAACTAACTTTCTCTCAGATTTCACATGCACCATCTCCTTCACCATTTTCCTTCACTTCCATCTCCTTCACCATTTTCCTTCACTTCCATCTCCTTCACCATTTTCCTTCACTTCCATCTCCTTCACCATACTCTATAAATCACCAACCCTTAACCTTCACCATTTCCAGATTCATCACTCTTCTCTCTCTAAATTTCTTTGAATTCCCTCTGCTTCTCGACATCAACACAGAACCTTCAACAACTTAGCATCGCTTCACATCTTCATCTTCTCAACAACTCTCAACGTCAATACTGCAACTACGACATAACTTCGCATCAACATCAAAGCTCTGATTTGCATCGCGCGCGTTCTTCATTTCGTAGCAACAGATGCGTGATAACAACACTAATATGCAATCTTCCCTCATCGTTCATCAACACTCACGTAACAACAGAATCACAATGATTCACAGAAAACGCACAAATAAGAAGAAGATAGAAGAAGAAGAAGAGGATAGGAGTACAAGAACCAAGAAAAGAAAACGGAGAAGAAGAAGAGTGGATAGAAGAAGAAGAACACGAAGGAAAAGCGAATAGTTGAAGACAAGAAGGACATACCTAGGACAAGCTTCGCCGGAATTTGTATCGGCTCCGCCGTGAGGTAAGTTCCTTTGTCATCTTCTTCGCACTTTTTTGATACTAATGCATAGCTTGGAGTCCCCTGAGTCGTTCCCCTATGGCGGTGAAGCGGGATTCACGGCCAGCAACATTTAATTTCGATATTCGTCAAACCTAGGTTTTTTGCAATTCATTAGATGTAGGAATTGTGAGGTAAAATTGATGAAGAAGGCTAGTGGATTCGAGTTTAGGGCGTTGGTACGAAGTGACTGATAGGTTTTTTGTGATTTTGATGTATCACCGCCGCAGCCGCCGCCATGGGTATGCCGGCGCGGCAGTCTCATTGTTTGTATGTTTGAATGGACGAAGAAAGGAGCTGAGAGTGGACATTAGGTTTAAGAGCTACCAAGTGTTCTAACGACGTCGTTCCAATCACGTTTTTCATTTAATATAATCTTTCAGTTTTTTTTTTTAAATCTTTTTTGAAGCCTGTGGTGATTTGTTTGGGCCAAATTGGTACTCTGATCCATGGATTTCGCGCTACATCCTCAGTGATCCATCACCTCCTATCTCATTCTATGTTCATTCTTTGATTTTCATTATCTTTAGCAATTAATTTTTAATGTTTTGTGCATGATTTTTGGCTTAAATTTTATATGCATGATGATATGCCAGTTCCTGATTCAATGATATTTTTCTCTGATTTTTTACATTAGTTTTGAATTTAATTTGACTAAATGTTGAATTAGGTGAAATTAAGGTTTCTTAATATGTTCTTGATGGATTATCTTTGTTTTGATTCAAATATTGGTATGATGATGATATGATGATGATTCCTGATGTTTAAGAGATTGATTAAATTCATGATTGACTTGTGTTCATGACACCTCTTGAAAAATGATAAAATCATGTCCTTAATTCCTTGAATTTCATGTAGTTTTGCAAGTTGGTTTTGATTGATTCTTAGTGCAATTTTTTGCCAATTATTTTGGGTGATAAACATGTTTAGGTTCTGATCTTTGTGATGAATTTTTTATCTTTGATTTGTGTTCACAAAATATGCAAATAAATGCTTGGATTTCTCTTTGAGTTGTATATGATTCCTAGGATTTTTTTAGCATTGTTTTAATTTTAGTCTTGTTTATATTTCTACCTCATCTCATGTATCATTCTATGCATTGTTACTAATCATTTTCTATTGTTTTGAGGTATATTTTTGAGGATTTGGATCACCCTTTATGGATATTATATATTTATTGTACTTTTAATCGTTTAAATTTTGCTTTTAAATTCCTTTGAGAAGTTGTATTAAGCAAAGTGAAACACCCCCCCCCCCCCCAAGGTGGATAAAATGTATCCCCCTCCTCATGAAATATGTAATAGCGTAGGATTTATTTTTCTGTATGTTTGATTGATTGTATGAGATGCATGCGAAAAAGATTTAAAAAAAAATAAACAATTAGAAAACAAAAGTTTGGCCCAACGCCAAGTTAATTTTAAAAAATAATTAATTGAAGTTCTTTCTCCCGCCTCCCTCCTTTAGGTGTTCCTATTCATATCTTCCCTCATATTACCCGTAAGTCGAGTGCTTAGGCATTCACAATCGACCTCCAATAATTCTTCATCACTACTCCACCATCATGAACCAACTAAGCAAGCCTTGTAAGTCTTTGTCCATAAGTCGATGTGCTCAGCAATGTCGCAACCGACCTACCTTTCCCTGATTCACCTCCCTTCATGTATCTCTATGCATTTCATGCATCTTTCCATGCTTCTTGATGATTTCTTACGAGTGAATACTGACGATGCTTGATGATCTCTCTTGATACTTGATATTATTGTTTGATTGATTGCATGCTCACATGTTCCCTTAGGAGTATTAATTCAATTTTAATCTCTCAATTTAATTGGATTAATTAGACCTTAGGCTTCTAATCTAAGCATGACAATGTTAAGTAGAATTCCCTTTCATCCTCATCTTAGGGTCATTGTACATGACAACATTGGGTATATATTCCTTTTATAATTCCTAACATAAGGTCCATGATGCATGAGAACATTAGGATTAGCTCTCCTTAGTCTTTTTCTTTTTGCATTGCATCTTTTAAAACTAAAACCTTTTTCTTATTCAAATTCAAAACACTTAATCATACTTAAACACTTTCCACAATAACAAAACACAAACAAATCAAATTTGACACCTTGCCTTGAGGGCGGAACTCAAAACATTTTCAAAAAGTGTTCATCACCCATAAAAAAATATACAACAAACCAAATTTTTTAAGGTGAACTACGAGTGCCCTGATCCTCTATTACACGAAGGGGGTACATAGGCACAAAGGTTCCCAATCGCAGCGGGGACAATAATTTAAAACTTTTCTTTTTCCTTTAAGCAATTCACTCATGTATTTCCATAACAAGTAAGCATTAGATATAACACACCCTTAGAAACAAACAATCTAGGTGGATCCCGTTGAGTACAACGAATGTGAGGGGTGCTAATACCTTCTCCTTGTGTAATAGACTTTTGTAGCCTTTCTCTTGGTCGCAAGACCATCTTATCCTTCCTCTTGGGGTTTTCTCGATATTTTCCCTTCCTTCAGGATAAATAAAGTTCAGTGGCGACTTTGTGTTTTATTTGTGGCGCGACACTGGTAATTGAGTATTTTGAACTTGTTGAAGAAATTAGGATTCAAGGTTGTTACAGGGCATCCATTATGGTAATCATCATGGGCGTACTCAGTAACTCTTCGTTTCTTAATCAACTATTTTATTGAATCCTTTCTATGGATGCAATCATTTTGATTATGGTTGTGACTTTGACATGGTAGGGATTCTTGATCTTGGCCGTCTTGAACTTAAAGTTCGCACTTTCTTTTCAAATTTGACTCCCTTGAAGTGTCTGGGGAAGTGTATATGTTGAATTTTGATCGGGGTTCATTCTTCTTCTCTATATCAGCCAAAATTTCTTTCTTGTACCCTGTTGTGTTAGATGTTCCATGCTCCCCAATATGTCTCTCCTTCTTTGAACACGAGATCTTCTTCATAACTTATATAAGTTTGTTCCCTATTTATCAAATTATTTAAGCTAGATGCTCCTTCAAGTACTAGCTATTCTCAAACCCTGCAGTCTGACCTCAATTCCTTCTTGAACATCCAAAACTTCAACTCATCATATGTCTCCCCCACTACTACTTCTAATTTTCTAGAGCACTTAATATACTCACACAGAGTTTCCTTCTTTCCCTGTGTAACTAAGCTAAATATGATCATGGTCACAGGTTGCTACTTTCACATGGTAAACTAGACAGTGAAAGCGTCACATAGGTATTTCCACTACTAATATGATCCCATATGATAGTCTCTTAGAATATGTTATTGTGGCTCTGGTCAGCCTCATCACAAAGAGTTTGCACTTTACATGCCATTGGGGTGTGATAGTAACACAATTGGTTATTTATATGCTCAATATGCTCATATGGACCTCTGGTTTCGTCGTAGCTCTATAGCTTTTGAGACTTCTCTAATGACTTCAAAATCCTGGTATCGAGGAAATGGGAAGACAATGAGTTCTTTTTCCTCTTTGGAACCGAAATGTCTTCGTCGTATCTTTCCCTTCTTAGAGGATGTCGTGTTGGTGAATGATGAGGAGAATAAACCTTGGCAAAAGTATGGCTATCGCTCCTCCCTTCAGGATAAGATATAGGAGTTTTATGTCTTATATGCTAATCTTGAGTTGGCGACCTTAGGGCCTCTCCCTGTGGTGTTGTTGTCTTAATGGAGACTGGCTCAGGTGCAATAGATTTAATGCCCTGGGGTATCGTCTCTCAAACGTTGGTCTTTCTTGATGTAACATGTTGTACACTCTCTTAAATTCTAAATAGCCTTTTTGGTAATAATCATGAATTCTACTGGTGTGTTAGGTTATAGTCCTTCTTCAACAGGTGGGTGGTTCCCTGTACTCCAAGGTTGGCTTGTAACAGATGAAGTTTGGGGAGCATTTCTTGTTCATGTACAACAAGTAGTGGATGAGGACAATGTGATGATTCTCCTTATGGAATTTATTGTGTAGATCCAAAGAATGGGAGAGTCTCGAATGCCCCTTGACTAACTTTTAATGGAGCAGGATCTTATTGTGTAAGGTTAGATGGGGACGCCACCAGAACTGGGTTGTCTTCTACTTAAGGAGGAGGAAGAAGCTGAGCTCTAAAAGCTTCATGGTCTGCAACAACTTATCCTTGAACTACATATCAAATGGCTTTGGATTCTATAACACCTTAACCTCGATACTTATATAAAAAGAATTATATGTTGATTAAAGTATTACCAACTTCAAAATATGTCAACTTTATTCAAATAGAAGTGAAAAATCAAATTAAAATAGTCGACAAAACCGTGTTTGTTCTCAAATTCAAAATAACATCATAAAATTCCTCAAAACATTAATTCAAATTTGAAAATTAAAATAAGCGTCCCATATCAGATGTTAGATGATCATAGCATGGCCACTAAATAAACAACGAAACGAAATGGAAATAACTTCAAAAGCTACTTCCACTCACAACAACAACTTCTAATCTTGATTATCTGGGAGATGTCAATGATGGACAACATCAAAGCAAAGAGGGTGATAACTCACTTCAATAAATAAACGACATAGGTTGCAGGATATAATACATACAACCAGTGGCGGAGCCAGCATACGGCCAGGTAGGGCAGTTGCCCAGGCTCCGCCCAACCAGACTTCACCATCTTGCGCCTGAGATCTTCCATGGCCATCCTCCATGACACCATGCTGCAAACAGACATACACCGTGGCTCCGCTCTTGTCATTCTGGTAAAATGTCCGTCATTTTTTTTCTTTTTGCTTCTGTTTCAGTTCAATTCTTGCTACAACATTGATGTTGTTGTGTTGTTATTTATTATTGTTGCAGGTTGTGGTTAACTAGTTGATGGAGAATTGATGTCAAATTTGTCGT